TCTATCGATCATTTCGCTTACTGGTTTCAGATAACAGTAAGAGCATGTGATATCAGCGTTGATAAAGGCATGACGACGCTATAAGTGTTATAACAGTGTTTACTTATATAAGAATTAGCATTCGATTTCATGATCCCTTGAAATACCAGTTTTGTCACATGAACTCTCTGACATTTACCTAATGATATCTACAGAAGAAACTTGGATCTGGCTATGTATCGTTAATGCGTCCTGCAAATGTCAAAGATTGTATATCAGAATGCGGGATACATTCTCATCCTATATGCTGTTGGGGTTTCTTTCTGTATTCGTTGTTTCAACGACAGAATCGGCAAGAAGAACACTGTCACCGCTGACGGAAGGGATGAACGCGCAGGATGGTTGATTTGTGTGTGGGCATTTCTAGTAACAGACGTGATGCTTAAAATATCAACCCTCAAATCGAAGACGAGGATATAACGTTCTTGGTTGTTTTTTGTGTTAAATATTATTCCACGAACACAATCAACAGCGTGAAACGGACATATTGACATTTTGTGAGAACAAAATCTTTGTTCCCCGAGTAGGTAACATGGCAGAAGATGTGTGGGCGATTAGCAGCATATTCTGTCTGTGGTAAGGATCGTAATGTTGAATAACACATTCCCACACATGGCGTACATCTTGTTTGCTTGTTGTTTAACTTCGCACTTAGCAATATCACAGCTTTATGACGCCGGTTTGTAAATAATCGAGTCTGGATCAGACAAGCCAGTGATTGATATCATGTCCCTCGATCTAAACTGAAATGTGTCAGCTAAGCCTAGCCACCCGATCCCATTAATTGTCCCGTACGACAAGCACCTGTGAAGATCCCGGTTATATGTGGTCTTCTGCAACCCATGTTTGTTGTAATGGGCGACTAACGGGATCGTGCGGCCAGGCTCGCTGAGTTAGTTGATGTATGTCATGGTATGGCATTTGATCAGTGCACCTGATGTCAATCACTGGATTGTCTGGTCCAGATACCATTGCTTACAGACTTAAAGCTTTTGCTTTTACGTCAACGATACCTTGGCATCGAAGATGTAATTCTAGAAGCACCACATGAAAACGGTTCCAAATGATCACAAACCTCGTACCTGGTGAAAGTAGATATTCTGTGTCGATATCTTCTTGTGTGGAATGTGCACCATGGTTGAAAATATTTCATGCTATCGACATGACCGACGGAATTAAACATCTCGATTTCTCTCCCTTTACATTACAAAATTTCCTTTGAATTATTCTAACCATTTAATGTCATGTGTTATATCGACTGCATTTCATGATGTGTAGATTATGTGACCTAATTGCTGCTTCTCTGTATATGTGACCGCTTCTTTCTCAGTCAATTCTTTCTCATAGACCCCTTTCTCAATGACCTCATCTTTCTCAGTGACCTCTTTCTCGTGGGTCCCTCTTTCTCAGTGATCTCTTTCTCGTGGGTCCCTCTTTCTCAGTGATCTCTTTCTCGTGGGTCCCTCTTTCTCAGTGATCTCTTTCTCGTGGGTCCCTCTTTCTCAGTGACCTCTTCCTCGTGCACCTCTCTATCTCAGTGACCTCCTCTTCCTCAGTGACCTCTTTCTCGTGCACCTCTCTATCTCAGTGACCTCCTCTTCCTCAGTGACCTCTTTCTCGTGCACCTCTCTATCTCAGTGACCTCCTCTTTCTCTGTGACCTCTTTCTCGTGACCAGTGACCTCTTCTCGTGACCTCTTTCTCACCTCTCTATCTCAGTGACTCTCTTTCTCTTCTCTATCTCAGTGACCTCCTCTTTCTCGATTTTCTCAGTGACCCTTGCACCTCTCTATCTCAGTGACCTCCTCTTTCTCAGTGACCTCTTTCTCGTGCACCTCTCTATCTCAGTGACCTCCTCTTTCTCAGTGACCTCTTTCTCGTGCACCTCTCTATCTCAGTGACGTCCTCTTTCTCAGTGACCTCTTTCTCGTGCACCTCTCTATCTCAGTGACCTCCTCTTCCTCAGTGACCTCTTTCTCGTGCACCTCTCTATCTCAGTGCCGTCCTGCACCTCTTCTCAGTCGTCAGTGACCTCTTTCTCGTGCACCTCTCTATCTCAGTGCCGTCATATTTCTCAGTGACCTCTTTCTCGTGCACCTCTCTATCTCAGTGCCGTCATATTTCTCAGTGACCTCTTTCTCATGGACCCTCGTTCTCATTGACCTCATCTTTTTCTATACCAAGCTCTTTTCCCTATTTCAACCCCTTTCTCAATGTCCACCTTTTTCTATGTCCAATATGTTTATGATCTAATACTCAAGAACAACTATATTACACTGAGATCATGCAGACTTAAACTGTAAACATATTTTACCGATCATATACGCGTGTTCTGTGTAATAACAACACCGATGGCAGCGTGGTTAGCGTGTTCGGTCGTCCAGCCGTAGATCCCGTGTCGATTCTCAACATGGGCACAGTGCGGTAAGTTTATTTCCGATGTGCCCCTTCGAGATACTGCTGGAGAACTTCTAAAACGACGTGAAACCATATTCACTCCCTCTTTCAAACTCGTTGTAACGCTTTCTCCGTTACTGAAGACGATTAGACAAGTGCAGTTGTTAATCTGTTATCTATCTCCACTCGGACTGAATATTCCCCGTTATAAAGTGTTCCCGAGGCGACTTATCGTTGGTTACAGCTGGTTGTGCAACACTGTGTTAGAGCGCCTGTCCCACTTTCGCTGTGCATAAGGTCGAGCGTGTCTCCTGTCTGTAGTTCACTGAGCCCTTCGCCCTCGCAAGTCCCCTTTGGCACCATGGACGTGTTGACGCTGTTACTGGCTGTCGTTGTAGTTCTCGCTTCTCTCCTACTACTGGGATACATGTGAGTACAGGGGACAGGCTATGTGAGACCGTGGTCACTTCATACCTTCAAAACCGCCTCAATGGTGTAGTGGTTAGAGCGTCCGCCCAGAGAGCGGAAGGTCGCGGGTTCGATCCCCGGTCGCGTCATTCCAAAAGACGTTAAAATATGGTACTTGTTGTTCCCTGCCTGGCGCTCGACATTAATGCGTACAAGGACTGGTCGGCTCGGAGTCAGTAAAATGTGTCCGAGTGGGGTATTCATGCTAAACTGTTGCATGGTATCTCAGTGAGCTAGCACTATAAAACCAGCTTAAGTCTGGGCTAGTACAAGAAGCCACACAAACACACGCATGCACGTCTTCATATGAGCGAAATATTCTCAAGTGCGACGTTAAACCCCATTTCACCTCATACCTTTAATGACTAGGGTTAATCGCCCGTGGCACGTGGTTAAAGAATCTTAAACGGAAATAACCGGGAATACCCGAGTAATTCATCCATCTATGGGGATGACAAGGTCGTGTTTGTGAACGTGTGACCTGGAATCATGGACGTTAAACGCCCTTACTAGGCTACATGCCAACGTCAATATGGCGTCTATATGTACAAGTGGATATAACAATGATTCTGAACCAAGTTTTATTATTAAGATTCCAGGGACGGTGGGGTAACCTAGTGGTTAAAGCGTTAGTTCGTCACGCCGAAGACCACATGGGCACAATGCATGAAGTCCATTTCTGGTGTCCCCGACTTTATATTGCTGGTATATTGATAAGAACGGCGTAAAACCATACTCACTTACTCTCTCACTCACTTACGATTCCGCTCCTCCGTCCACCACTTTCTCCATCTATCCATTTCAACAACTAAAACGCTGGTTCTAGCTTGAAGTGCATATTAAACCCTGGCTATTGTTTCAGCTACGCGACATGGACTCACGGTATGTTCCAGCAGATGGGAATCCCAGGACCTAAACCCGGATTACTGGGTATCGTGAGCCGCTACAAGAAGGAGGTACCACCTGATAACATAAGAAGTTCACTACAGTTAATAATAAACTTTATTTCACTCGTAATACGAGGTATGCTTAAGGTGGTAGGGTATCCCGGAGTGACTACTGTGACTGACTCACTGAGTATAATTTCCTTAAGGCGCGGATCGTGTGTTCATGATGTCAGCCACTGGTTGCTGATCGCTATTCACTCCTAACACATGAAACAGAGACTATAAAGGCACTATATCAGACCACACTTCTCTAAAAAATAAATAATGCATTTCTCTAATAATAACTCAGAGAAGCTACCATATAATTTATTCCCCACAAATGACGTATTTAGATTACAATTTAAAAACAAAACTTCGTATGACTTAATGCAACGTTGCATTAAATCGACTCTCGCGCTTCTACCGACCGAACATTATTTCAAGCTAGTCCCAAAGAGTCATGTCCCTTGTAGCGCTCTTTACGAATATGCAACACACAACTTGTGATTGAAACCAGTTCGGCAAACACTGACAACGCCGCGTGCGACAGGTTTCGATGTACGGAGCAATTGTTTACATTCCATATATGGCAAGTGTTCTCTGTTTGGAAGCTGTTCGCCTCGAAGTTTCAATTATCGATCTCAGGCAAGTCGTAAGGAGTAATACGTCTTTTATTGCATCAGTAGGAAGCTAAAGTGAGTGCATATGCCCCAATATATATTATATAGACCAAAATATTGCCGAAAATGTTTGACATTGTGCCTTTAATCTTTAAAAGCTTCCAAGAAGATTAAAAAGATAAATGAAAGTAACAAATTGACTTGAATTTCCTTAAAATGTTCAACAACGTCATCATATTTGTATTGATTTACATATACTTTTATTCCCATTCAACAAAACAGCAGTTGGGTATACAGTCATCAAGGGCCCCTCAGTAATGTTAGCTCCCTGACAGAACCGTCAGTGCAGTGCCGAATACAGTTAAGCGACGAAAAACCCCACTCACTCACTCACTCACTCACTCACTCACTCACTCACTCACTCACTCACTCTCACTCACTCACTCACTCACTCACTCACTCACTCACTCACTCACTCACTCACTCACTCACTCACTCACTCACTCACTCACTCACTCACTCACTCTTTTCCCCAGGGACTCGCTGGTTGTGATCAACAGCTCGTGAAGGAATATGGTCGCGTTGTTGGGTAAGTACTGTGACAGTGTGAAGTGTACAGCAATAAGCAGTTTCCTGTTCCACAACGAGGAATCCTACAAAGAAGATGCATCAGCCTTCACAGCGTGGTGTGAAGACAGTCTTCTCGAACTTAACGTCAAGAAAACTAAAGAGCTCATTTGTGAAGGAAACGATCACCAATCACATCTGTAACTATCTAGGACCAAGAAGTAGAAGTTTTTGAAGAGTACAAGTATCTGGGGACAATTATTGACAATAAACTTTCCTTCCCACAAAATACCGATGATGCTATCTACAAGAAATGACAGTCCCGTCTAAACCCGTTCATTCCAAATAGGCTCTACCATTGCGAAACTGTTCTACAAATCATGTATACAATCTGTTTCAACTTTTTCAATACAGTGCTGTAAGAACCCTTCTCATTCCAGATCAAGAACAAACTGAAAAGAGTTGTGAAAGTTGCAGGGGAAATAGCTTCTTGTGATTTTGAGATTTTCGTAACTCTATATATTTTAACTGTAATTTTACCTCAGGAATTTTTAATGACTTATCTCATGCTTTAATTTCTTGTTGCAAGCTTTTATCCTCTGGTCGTAGATATCGTGTCACCGGTGTTAGAGCCAAAAGGTCTTTAATTTCCGTTAATTCAGACAGACAGACAGACAGACAGACAGACATTTTATTCAGTAATAGGCCACTGGCCCAAAATACATTCATAAATATGATAAGAAGTTACATGCGTTTTACCAGGGAGACTATATAACGTTGTAGATTATCCCTGGTTTTACATAAAAACATCAGAATCTCTTATTTTCCCAACATTATATAAAAAACATTATATAAAAATTAGGCACTGTGTTGTGAACATTATTTATAACATATTATATAAAGGACAGAATCTTGAATAATAAGGGACATTGTTATATCTACCGGTCTCAGAACTAAGTTTAAATTTACCGCATTCATCTCTTCTAAACCAATCTTAAATATTCTGCTATATTGTGTTAGGCTTGTAGTTATGATCACGACCTATTACGTTTAACTTTTAGGGACATGTGCCATTGCTTTGGATGTCTTAAATATCATTGTTTATGTTTGTATGTCTGTTTGTATCGATCTTTCTGTTCTGTATATGTCATATACCTCTGATGAACACAAAATTCCCCTACGGGTAATAAAGTATTATCTTATCTGAAACATCATTACACATAACCACAACGACTCTTTAATACGTCAGGATCGAATCCCATAATCAACTCGAATATAGTTCCTGGTAAGTGACTCGTGAAGGTCCGGGTTAGAAAGCACCTTCAGTAACCCATGCTAGTTGTTAGAGGCGACTAACGGGATCGGTTCGCTGGCTTGGTTGACACATGTCATCGGTTCCCAATTGCGCAGATCGATGCTCATGCTGTTGATCACTGGATTGTCTGGTCCAGACTCGATTATTTACAGACGGCCGCCATATAGCTGGAATATTGCTGAGTGCGGCGTAAAAGTAAACTCACTCACTCACTCCTGGTCTCCTGGTAAGTGTCTGAGGCGAGCAACTCACTCACTCAATCACGATATTGAAGGTGACATATGTCGCATAACACCTGATTGATAAATGATATGGATATTAAGGGGCGTAGCTCTGTAGTCAGGATAGATGCCCAACAACACAACACGTGGTAACGTTTTCAAGTCAATGTTTCAGCGTGTTCCACGGCAGAATTCCATCCCTCGTCATATCAGACCCCGCCATGATTAAACAGATTTGTGTGAAGGACTTCTCCAACTTTGTCAACAGATCGGTGAGTTATTTTCGGGATGATGGGTTTTTGATTTGCCCAACAGTGGAGGATGACCCGGTAGTGAGTTCTACCAGATTCGGGTGTCTGCTCTTTAGGGGTGGAGGGATATGACCCCAGATCTGCCAGATCGGTGCCCTTTGTCGAGAGATGACCCTGTAGTGAGTTCTGCCAGATCATGGTGTCTGCCCTTTAAGGGTGGATGACCCTGTAGTGATGCCAGATCAGGGTGTCTGCCCAGTAGTGTCTGCCAGATCATGGGTGTCTGCCCAGATCCAGTAGTAAGTGATCTGCCCTTTAGGGGTGGGAGGGTGGAGTATGAGTTCTACCAGATCAGGGTGTCTGCCCTTTAGGAGTGGAGGGATGTCCCTGTAGTGAGTTCTACCAGATCAGGGTGTCTGCCCTTTAGGGTGGAGGTATGACCCTGTAGTGAGTTCTACCAGATCATGGTGTCTGCCCTTTAGGGGTGGAGGTATGACCCTGTAGTGAGTTCTACCAGATCAGGGTGTCTGCCCTTTAGGGGTGGAGGGATGGTCCAGTAGTAAGTTCTACCCTAGATCCGGGTGCCTGTTATTGTTAATCTAACTATATGTTTCCGCAAAGTGAGAGCATAACAATACACCGTTACATATCAGGAATTAGGGCTGTGACGAGTCCACATTTTCTACCCTGGTACCCCACCCTCCTATTACCCTATCCTACCCGGATACCTGTTATGTTAATTCCTGACATCAAATGTGTAAGAAATGGCAATATATTCTTCAGCTCAAAGGCTAAAGTTTCGGGTTTTTCAATATCTTAACCATGTATAATATTCAAAAGACGTGAGTGTAATTCTTATCCAAATCTTCAAAGACAATACAACCTTTTAATCATGAAAGAATATCACATTACATTGTTTAATCTATTAGTCACATGATCATAACGGGTCCGGATATTGAGACGTGTACCCGGGTCCAACTCATTACCCACCTGTCCCGGGTATCTGGGTTGCCCGTCCCAGCCCTATCAGGAATACATGGTACATGTTTTAAACATTCTCTTCATCATGTTGTAACGGTACTAGTTTGTTGGTGTTTCCTAGACGTTCGGCCCGATGACCAGGCTGGTGAGGGACTGTATCGCGGAGATCTTCGACGAGCACTGGAAGTTCATGCGATGTGTTCTCAGTCCCACATTCCGTACATCAAAACTCAAACAGGTAAATAAGTCAACCGTAAATATATACACGGATAGTTACAAAGGTAACATACAGATGCATTCTCCAACAGATAAATATATATATATATATATATATATGTTACAATAAATGTGTCAAATCAGGAAATGTGTAAATTTTCTGGAATATTTAGGAAATGTGTACATTTCCTGATTCGCTCAGTAAACGTACACATTTCCTAAATATTCCAGGAAATTTACACATTTCCTGATTGGAGGGCCTGATTTTTTACATATTTCCTGATATGATTTTTTTGCTATCTTAAATAATACAGCTTCGATTTAAAGGACAATCAAAATCATCAATTTACACGAACTCATTTATTGTGGCAATTCAAGCTTGAATGACAACGGCTATTACACTAAAGTCCTGCTTTGTAACATTTACATTTGTTGGTTTTGCACTGCTTAACACTTTGCGCACAGTTGCACTTAGTGTATCCTTGACAACGGCTATTACACTTAAGTCCTGCTTTGTAACATCTACATTTGTTGGTTTAGCACTGCTTAACACTTTACGCACAATTGCACTTAGTGTATCCTTGACCACCACAGATTGATTCTTGTTGCACAGCTTGACACAGTCCAATTTCTTTGTCAGTTTGTACATCAACCATGGACAAAAGGTTCTAGCGTTCCTTCAGGATACCAGATTTCACAGCAACTCGATACAAGTCATTCTCATTTCTATCCAAATTAATATCACACTCATGATCGTTTTGACTTGTATGTTCTGTGACTGGCTTTAAATAGCATATATTGGCCCATTCTCCTGTTTTCACTGCAAATTAAGCAAAAACTTCATATCAGGAAATTTCCTGTAAGAAAAAAATCAGGCCCTCAAATCAGGAAATGTGTAAATATTCTTCTAAACATACAAATATATACAGAATATTTAGGAAATGTGTACATTTTACAGGTAAATATATACAGGTATCACATACAAAATATACACATTTCCTAAATATTCTTAATCAGGATACAGGTATTCTTAAACATACAAATTATACCTGATTTTCAGGTACATTTACTTTATCAGGTATATATACACGTCTTCTTAAACATACACATATATACTGGTATTCTCAGTCAGGTAAATATGTACAGGCTTTCTTAATCAGGTAAATATATAGAGGTATTCTTAATCAGGTAAATGTATACAGGTATTCTTAATCAGGTTAAATATATACAGGTATTCTTAAACAGACAAATATATACAGTCTGATATTCTTTGAACTAATGCTCTAAGAACCGTGTGTGGTGCTGTTCGTGGTACCAGCCATCATAAAATATACAAAGAAACTAATTGTCACCCGTTGTGTCGTAGAAGGTACCTTCATAAAATGACCATGTTGTACAAAATGGTTAATAACACTACGCCAAGTTACCTTAGTAACCTTGTTCCGCCTAGAGTATCAGATATCGTTGGTTATAATCTGCGCGGTGATTCAAATCTTCAGATTATAAACTGTAAATCTGTAAATTATACAGGTCCTTTCTTTCAGATACTGTGAAATTATGGAATTCATTACCAGCTGAACATAGAGAATCACCGTGCCTATCGAGATTAAAATATGTACTTTTAAATGATTCTAATATCTACAGTCATTTTGACTTAAATTTCTGTAGCAGATTTTGTCAAATCATACATATTCGTCTCCGACTTGAATGTAGTGACCTTACTGCGCACAAATATGAAAGATTTATATCCCCAACATCATCTTGCTCTTGTGGCCACAACTATGAAGACTCTGCTCATTATTACTTATCATGTACTCTTTACAACGATATTCGTCAAATTATGTGATTTTATGCTAAAGGATTTGACCTAAAATCAATTTTGTTTGGAAACCAAAGCTGTTCCTCGATAGTAAACAAAGAACTTTTAATTTCAGTGCACTCGTTTATAAATTTAACAGGCAGATTTGATCCAAAATAATTTCTTCATATGAGATATACTGTTTAACAATGATTGGCGTTATTTCTCGTTTTTGCAACATTTATATATCATTCACATTGTACATTCATCATGACATGTTTACTCTTCCTTCAGTTGTATCCGGAGCGGTATTCATATAAGCTTATGCTTATTTACCAATCCGGTTCCTTTCTTTGAAAATAAATGCTTAAATCATATTCTTTAAACAAAACTATATTCGTGTATTTCAAACTGATCAATTTAAATATGTAGATTTTCTAAAACAGTAAACTATATACATTGTACAGGTATTCTCGAACAGGTCAATACACATGAGAAAGCAAGCATGTAAACTAAACTGGTTGACGTTTGTTGTAAATGGTTTCCCCTTTGGTTAAATCCACGAAAGCGAGTATGGTATCATCAGCGGATCCTGCCATCTATAAGGGATACAACTTCACACGGCCTATTTGTCCACCATATACAAGCACACTCACACATACACGAATGTACGCGCGCGCACACACACATACTCGCACGCACACACACGCGCACACCAAATCGACCAGTAATGTCATAGTTAATTCGTATCCCGAAGTCGAGATATGTAAAAACATAAGTTTTGTGACACATATTCTTGAAGAGCATGCGTGTTTCCTGGTCGTGTGTCATGTGTAACTGAACAAGCTGTGTTTGATGTCTTCAGATGATGACGCTGATTGAGAGATGTTCCAACCATATGGTCAAAAACATGGATAAACAAGCAAAGGAGAAGAAAAGCGTTGATATGAAACTGTAAGACTCGATTGGGACAGAAACTCAATAACAGTGTTTACTTGCCAGTCAGTATTGGTTTGGGGACTCTTCACTACAACCCTCTTTAAATTAAAAGATTTAATGAAAGTGCAAAACCTTTGCGAAATTATTATGAGTACACATTTTCATGTTACACTTGATACATGTCTACCCGCCACAGTGTGATCACTTTGACATCTTAACTCACTTGCTGCTGCAGTTTAATGGGATACTACACCATGGACGTCATCGCCAACACTGGATTCAGCATCGACCTAGACTGCCAGTCCAACCCCGACAATGTCTTCGCCACCTATTGCCGGAAGGGCTTTAATCTGACCTATCCTATCATCTACCTCTTCACACGTAAGTACACTTAAAGGACTTCATCTCAAAACGTTAGTACACAGGCTGGGAACGTACCTAATATATGGTTCCTAGCTGTTTGGAGATGATCCAGGAAGTTTCTTGCAGCGATTTCTAACTATGCATGGACCTTACTTACAATTTCAAGAACGAGTCTAAACAACAATCCGGACAACAAGTACTTGATTATTGCACGTTCCTGAAGTTTGCCAATTTTTCAAAAGGTCGGAGATTTGATTTGTTGTTCACGTTGTTCAAGGGTATCCTGTTTCTTTATGGATATACTTCCGTGACATCAAATACTGACCAAAGATTTCACCTTCCGACCTGGTCCCTGTAAGGCTACAGCTTTCTAATCAACCCTCGTACCATGTCCCTGTCGCGTTCCTATATTTTCCATTGTGAGCATCCTAGGGAGGTTTTAATATACTGACGTTATGTACAGCCAAATACACAAATAACACTGTCTACACCGGCACGGACATGAGCAGTCCATTCAAGGACCCATAATCCAGTACACTAATTAATCCTCTTGGCACGCCAGATAATCAGGAAGTAGTGATTGCGGGGTAAATCAAACGCTCTAAGCTTGCATGGGTATGAGTAGTCCAATAAACACTGGGGGATTGCATTAACTGTTTTCAAGTGTGTGACATGTGTCAGAGAGTAAATAAATAGGCATTGGCTTTATTGACTCGTCAGTCACTCTGTGTGACAAGACCTTGAACCAGTTGCTGGAAACATCGCACTTGAAAAGACCAGTGAGAGGCGTCAAGCCAAAATGTCTGACTTTTTCTTGCCAAATTGTTGATTTGTACTTGTTATTTGAACAATGTGAGTTGGCTGAATGTGTGGTGTCTATTACAGTGGCACAGGTCACTGACTCTGCTCACAGTTGCCTTTCATAAATGTTAACCATCTCAGTAACTTGATGCTCTTCTTGAAATGAATTCCAGTGCTGTTTCCCTTCACCAAGTGCATTTTTGAGAAGATTGACTTCAAGAGTTTTGATTCCGACAAAAACAGGCCCAAGTTTCATTCCGTGGTGAAACAGGTGATCGAAGACAGGAAGAACAATCCCGACCCGGTGAGTTACCTCCAACATCTCGAACTCCTTCTCCCTATGTTCCCAACTACTCCAAGAAGAACTATCATAATACTACCCTCTCTAACTCCAACTCGTAGGTCCAGACTCGATTATTTGCAGACCGCCGCCATATAGCTGGAATATTGCTGAGTGCGGCGTAAAACTAAACTCACTCACTCCAACTCGTAGGTGTACAACTATAAAATCCTGAAATCCCATACCCCGGACGTCTACTCGAGTCCCCCTAATTCGAAATCCTGTCACTCGACCTTCTGTTACCCGAACCACTCTAAATCGAAAACCTTTTGAATATTTCGGTTTTGCGAAACGCAAGGAAAACAATTTGTTTGAATGGCATTTTAGAAGTTGCCACGTGTTTGAGTGACATTTTAGAAGCTGGGAAGCAGTTGTTTGTCAAAATAATTTGTATCAGACCTGTCAAAATGTTTGCCAAAGTTTGTCAAAATAGTTTGTATTTACTTTTAACCTCCTCAAATGTAGAGTTAGACACGCGACGATCTCGACGATATACAGTATACACTGGTTATAACGCCACCGTTTGTCCAGGAGAAAATGTGCCATTATATCGGTAGGACAATCAACAAGGCGATTGAGCTGATGTCTCCTGAGCTGATGTCTCCTGTAATGAGCTTTGGATGACTGGATAATCCCAGCATCTAGGGGCTGCAGGTGACTTTTTGTTGTAGGTGGCAGGAAGTGTATTGTCACATGTGTTAACCCATCTGGGAACATGGGTTAAAATATTAATGAGTTTAGTCAATCAATCTGAGTCATGTCAATTATCCAATTAAGGTTTGTTTATCACAAGCAGCCAGTGTAATTGGCATTATAACCACCGACAAATGACTTTCGTTCCAACAACCATTGGTAAATTGCAATATATCTAGCATGGCATTATACCCAGGGTATAATAAGGACAGTAAATCCGTTCTGGCACACGATGGCATTATATCCAGGGTGGCATTATTACAAGGGTGCACTGTAACTGTATTTGTTCCTGAAGGCATCGTACTAAATGGAACTGCATTATGTGTTAATTACAAGATAAAGTAATACAGTTGTATATACAACTGACGTACGCCATGAGCCACACATAGCCAACCAAACTGACTCCACGAAGACCATCTCTCCACAGCGGTACGGGGACATTCTACAGACGATGTTGGACACCAACAAGGAGGGGGCAGAAAGAGACTCGAAGGACGACTCCGATGAAGATACTGAAACAACACTTGACTTCAAGTACTATAAGAAACGAGGTATTCACTTATTAGTTCATTACTCGTTAGCCAATACTCGCGTCATTCCGTGTCAACCCTGAAAGGCTTGACAAAGAGCGAGGTATTTATTATCCTGAAACGTGTCATTCCGGGCCAATACAGAAAGGATCGACAAAAGAGAGGTATTTATTATCAGTGCATAAGCCAATATTCGCGTGTATTCCTTGACAAAGAGAGAGGCGATAATAGCCAATATTCGCGTTATTCCGGGCGATAATAGTGAGTGAGTGAGTTAAGTATTACGCCGCACTCAGCAATATTCTTGCTATATGGCGGCGCCGGGCGATAAAAGAAAAGCACACAAGCCAATATCAATGCTTCTATTTGTACAACTGGCTGCACTGAACTAGGCTTACGTTATGTAGTATGGCATCAGAGAACAAAACGGCTGTAGTCTGGCTTTATCGACAGGCGAGAACGGATACGGAGAATGGTAAGATAAGGTGTTCTTTGCCAGTCTTATATAAACACATCTTGAGCGAACTCTGACCGTCCAGTTGACTGTATTATATACTGAGTCAAAAAAGAAACTTCACAAAATGTCATTTGAAAAATAATGAATAATTTCTCTCTGATGATACATCTATGTATCCGAAATGGGATCCCTATCTTTTGACTCTAGAAAAACGTTAGCAAAACCCACTCAAACCATCCATACGTCGTGCAAATGACGTTAGTGCCAAATCAGGTTTTGCACGAGCAGTCGATCACGTGATCTTCGTATCGAAGTTTTCTTCATATGCACGTGTTTGCGTTGGCCTCAAGAATTGAAAAAACACTTTTAAACCACAGTTCCAACGGTACTTGAAATGCCACGATTGTCAAATGTGCAACGTGAACGTGCCGTTGGCATGTTTCAAGCGGGAAGATCAGTTATTGACGTCGCAAGAGCAATGGGATGTGTCTGACTTGTGAGGTCGTCTACAACAAACTGGCACCACTTCTGATCGCCCAAGGTTGGGTCGTCCACGTGTGACGTCACGAGCAGAAGACCGTCAAATCGTCCTACGTCACCTACGTGACAGATTTCTGCCGGCTAAACGAACCAGGGCTGAGATGTTTCGAGGTCGACTGTCCTCACAGACCATTCGAAATCGGTTGCGGGCTGCCAATCTGCATTCTCGACGTCCATATCGTGGGCCAATATTGACGCCGTTTCATCAACGTCAACGTCTGCTTGTGGCCCAACGTCACCTCCGATGGACCCAGAGAGACTCGAATCGAGTCGTCTTTAGCGATGAATCCAGGTTTACCCTCAGATTCGCGGACGGCAGGCATAGAGTCTGGAGACGACGTCGTGAACGGTATGCCCAATGTTGTGTACAGGAAGTCGACAGATTCGGGGGCGGAAGTTGCATGGTGTGGGGTGCTTTCTATGGGAACTGTGGGAACAACCGTTCCCGACTTTTGGTCATCCGTGGAAACCTCACAGCTGCTGCTTACCGCGACCAGGTGCTCACCCCTGAACTCGTTCCTTTCATGGCGGCTCATGGCCCAGGTCTACAGTTCCAGCATGATAATGCTCGGCCCCATACCGCTATGTTGACACGAAATTTCCTTCAAAACGCTGGAATCAACGTCATGGACTGGCCATCGAGGTCCCCTGACCTTAATCCAATAGAGCACGTTTGGGATGCACTTGGGAGAAGGCTTCGTGGTCTTAGGAACCAACCTCAGAATTTGCAGGAACTTGGCGCTGCCTTGCAAGAATCCCCAACCGCGTGTTCACAAGCATCAGGAAGTCGATGAGGAGACGGTGTTTGGCAGTGGTGAATGCGCGGGGCGGCCATACACGATATTGAACTGAGAAATTTCGCATTTTTATTCTTGGGACTTGACATTCTGTATACCTATGTTTTGGAACGGCGGTGTAGCCTAATGGAACTGATTATGGCACTGTCAGTGTATCGAGTACATCACACAGATCTCAGCAATGAAATAATAACAATTTAACCATCTTACCATCTCTTGTTCTTTTATAGTGCCATGAAGAAAGATGTGAAGTTTCTTTTTTGACTCAGTATTGTTGCTTTTATTACAGTGCTTTATGAATTTAGAAGCTCCAGCCTTCACTGAATCATTAAAATGTTTGTTCCGTGTGGTATCCAATGTCGGGGCTGATTCCAGAGCTGTATCGTCACAACAAGAAAAATCTCACTTCAATTTGGTTTCGTAGCATACCCGCACTAGATGATGCTGTTGTATGGCATGTAGAAGTTGGACGAACATGAATACATGACACGTTTTTTATGGATAACAACATCTTTTTATTCTATGTATACTACCCATCAAACGTTTAGACTCACTAGTGCAAATGTAGCCACTTATTTCAGTCACCTCCTCTAAGGTAGATTTTACAAAATATTCCATACTTTTTTAAATCTGCTCTTTACACTTGAACTGATGGATTGTAAAACAAATTTGTAACGTTGAAAGGATGATTGTCATGAGTTCAAAAATTGGTGAAACTCAATGAAAATTGGCGAATTCTTAACAAAAAGCAGCTGTTCACATGCACGATATTTACACATGCTTTTCAGCAAGTTGATGCATGATCCTCTTGCAACCAGTCTGCATAAGATTTGTAGTTGGTACCCCCAAGTTTAAGATAAATTTATCTTCGATGTAACCATATATATTATATGAATAACATATAGTGAGTGTTTTAAGTGAGTCTAAACCATTGATGGGTAGTATAAAGCCTTTCGGAGCTAAATCTTTCTCCTTCACCAGATGAAAGAGTCAGTGCATAGGGTGAATACATATAGATAACACATGTGTACACAACGCAAGGTGGCAGAAAGTACGAAGATAACAATATCATCTCTGTACATTAAACCCCAACCCCATTCTGGGCTTGTCATATAATATACTCTTATCTTATCCTCGTGATCATACTGTTATCTTTGTACATTCTCCCACCATGCGTTGTGTAAGAAAGCAAGAATTGGCCCTGAAACGTCGTATAAAGAATAATAATAAGTTGTTATCCATTAAAACATAGCATACATTCTGCACGAGATGATTGATAGTAATCCGCGAAGCAATTTAAACTTTGAGATTGCTGTTATGATTACTTCTGTCAATGTTTAAAAGCATCAAATCAGGCTTGATTGGTTGACTGTATTGCCAGTGAAAGCTTGAATGTTTGACTGTATTCTCAGTGGAGACTTGATTGGTTGACTGTATTCTCAATGGAGGCTTGATTGGTTGACTGTATTCTCAATGGAGACTTGATTGGTCGACTGTATACTCAGTGGAGACTTGATTGGTGGACTGTATTCTCAATGGAGGCTTGATTGGTTGACTGTATTCTCCATTGAGGCTTGATTGGTTGACTGTATTCTCAATGGAGGCTTGATTGGTTGACTGTATTCTCAGTGGAGGCTTGATTGGTTGACTGTATTCTCAATGGAGACTTGATTGGTGGACTGTATTCTCAATGGAGGCTTGATTGGTTGACTGTATTCTCAATGGAGGCTTGATTGGTTGACTGTATTCTCAATGGAGGCTTGATTGGTTGACTGTATTCTCAATGGAGGCTTGATTGGTTGACTGTATTCTCAGTGGAGGCTTGATTGGTTGACTGTATTCTCAATGGAGGCTTGATTGGTTGACTGTATACTCAGTGGAGACTTGATTGGTCGACTGTATTCTCAATGGAGGCTTGATTGGTTGACTGTATTCTCAATGGAGGCTTGATTGGTTGACTGTATTCTCAATGGAGGCTTGATTGGTTGACTGTATTCTCAATGGAGGCTTGATTGGTTGACTGTATTCTCAATGGAGGCTTGATTGGTTGACTGTATTCTCAATGGAGGCTTGATTGGTTGACTGTATTCTCCATTGAGGCTTGATTGGTTGACTGTATTCTCAATGGAGGCTTGATTGGTTGACTGTATTCTCAGTGGAGGCTTGATTGGTTGACTGTATTCTCAATGGAGACTTGATTGGTTGACTGTATTCTCAATGGAGGCTTGATTGGTTGACTGTATTCTCAGTGGAGACTTGATTGGTTGACTGTATTCTCAATGGAGGCTTGATTGGTTGACTGTATTCTCAATGGAGGCTTGATTGGTTGACTGTATTCTCAATGGAGGCTTGATTGGTTGACTGTATTCTCAATGGAGGCTTGATTGGTTGACTGTATTCTCAATGGAGGCTTGATTGGTTGACTGTATTCTCAATGGAGGCTTGATTGGTTGACTGTATTCTCAATGGAGGCTTGATTGGTTGACTGTATTCTCAATGGAGGCTTGATTGGTTGACTGTATTCTCAATGGAGGCTTGATTGGTTGACTGTATTCTCAATGGAGGCTTGATTGGTTGACTGTATTCTCAATGGAGACTTGGTTGGTTGACTGTATTCTCAATGGAGACTTGGTTGGTTGACTGTATTCCCAATGGAGACTTGGTTGGTTGTCTGTATTCTCAGTGGACGCTTGCTTGGGTCTGTTTAAGGTCTGACAAACTACGAGATATTCTGCAACTCCCACATCTTCCTATTCGCCGCCTTCATGACGACCTCCAGAGCCCTGACCTTCACCGCTTACAACCTGGCCACGCACCCTGAGATCCAGGAGAGGTTGTACCAGTCGATAATCAAGCAGTTAGGAAATGTAAGTACACCCGTGACAGCCAACAGAGTGTCTAAATGTGCAGTGAGTGAGTGAGTTAGTATGGTTTTACGCAGCTTTTTGCAATGTTCCAGCAATATCACGGCGGGTGACACCAGAAATGGGCTTCACACATTGTACCCATGTGGGGAATCGAGCCCAGGCCTTCGGCGTGACGAGCAAACGGTTTAACCACAAGGCTACCCCACCTTCCCAATGTGCAATGAAGTCTTGTTTGAAGTATATTGGTCGGCATGATTCCGGGCCTGATACTATCACCATGGACTGAGACTGTATATATGTTTCTGTACAGAGGAAGCCCACGTATGCCGAGGTGACGAAGCTGCAATACGTGGAGAACGTGTTCATGGAAACCCTGAGGCTGTATCCCCCGGCAACCAGGTGAGTAAAGATCCCGGATGCCGGTCTCTGAAGACAAACATGAATCACAGGGTACCTTTTCAGACGTTGTATCATTCATTGCAAGGAAACCATGTATTCTATGGCAGTCCATTGTCACTAATTGAGACCTGATCTCTTCCAGGACGACCAGAGCTACAGCCAGGAGTACCACCATCAGCGGCTACAACATCCCCGGCGGCATGCCCATTATCCTCCCCGTCTACGCAATTCATCATGATCCCGAGTTCTGGGCCGAACCGGAAAAATTCGACCCTGACAGGTATGCGATTTGTCAGGACACTAATATCACATACCCGTATATCAAAGTTTGCTAAGGATAAAGTTTGATGATACAAAACAATCAATAAAGATCATTGAAATGATCTGGTACCCAATATATCTACAGGCCTGCAGGGTTTATCCAAACATTGCGCATCGGATTATTTCAATCTTTATTGATCATTTTTTCTATCATCAAACTATATCCTCAGCAAACTTTGAGTATCTTTTCTATATATAACCATATTTCACCACTGGATATGACGTATATTATATAAGCAATAACGAAGTTGCTGATTGTATTGATTTGCTGTTCCAGGTTCCTCCCCGAGAACAAACACGAACTGCACGAGTATATGTGGATACCATTTGGCGTCGGCCCCGGAACTGTGTGGCAATGCGGTTGGCTTTGTTGGAGGCCAAGATGGCGATAGTGGCTTTGGTGCAGAACTTCCAGTTTGTTGTAACTCCGGAGACAATAGTGAGTTGTTCTTCCATTAGTTGATTGTATATCCATAAATATGTCCCTACTAAGGGGACCTTCTGGTAGACCAAGCAACCATGCAGGTCAAGATTCGCCCCATTTTACACTTTCCATTCAACCAATTGCATGTTTTTCTTTAGATTTTTATCATAAAGGTTATCTTGCAATAAGAAAATGCTATGATATGCGAAAAAGGATTTTCCTTGACGAATTCATACTTTGTTTACATTATTCGTAAGGTTCCACGATCTGTCCTCGAAGTCCCGTGCAGAGCTAGCGATATATATCGTCACTCTCATGTACCTAGATATATCGTCATAGTCCTTACTGGCGCATTTGTAGTAGTGAGTGAGTGAGTTTTATTTTACGCCGCTTTTAGCAATATTCCAGCAATATCAACGTGGGGGTCACCAGAAATGGGTTTCCAGCACTGTACCCATGTGGGGCATCGAAACCGGGTCTTCGACGTGACGAACGAATGCTTTAACGACTAGGCTACCCCACCGCCCCGAATTTGTAGCATCTATGACCCATTACACATAACAATCGACCAAAGGGACTGAAAAGCTTATGTGAAATCGTCCCCTCTGGTTTCAGAATATGCGTGTTTGTTAAACATGAGAACAGCCCGATCACATGATGTGCATATCATCAGTGGTCTGATAGTAAGGGATAACTGCGCCGGAGTGTGAAACTCCCAAAACATTCAGCCAGACCATAGAGCTGGTTAGATGTAAAACTCGCCAGCCCTGACCAAAACTTACCTGCCCACAAAATATCTTCATATACATGTCTAAATTTTAACCCCACCGTCGGTCAGGTGAATTTGAGAATCTGGCAGTCCGTGTTAACAATAAAGAAATGTTTTTAAAACATGACAGAAAAGGTCATCGATAAATATTTAACCCATATGTAATTGTTCTCCACGTCAGTTTGTAGAATTCTGTTTTGTTTCAAAAGTGTATATCTGATTGAACTGTTTTTCAGGCTCCGGAACAGCTACAAAACGGACGCTTCCTCAGACCTGAAAATCGTATTTTTGTCGGTGTTGAACGACGCGAATAGAACAGAGCACAACTGGGGTCTACATCTAAATTGCTAACATATCAAAGGATAGGGTTGTGATTGTAGAAGTATTGTGACATATGGTATTGTGTAGGGATGGAAGACTCTTCTTGCAAGTTGATTCCGTGAGTGTCGCAGAGAGGAGCTGCGGATGTGATCTGAACTCCTGGCTGATCTTGTATAGATTCAAACCCGCGTGCTCGGGTGGTGATAACGGACCAAGCCATACCGCTAATTGGTGCGGAAACGCCCTACGAAGTAACCGTGCATGCACCATGTTTTATGTAGGTGGAAAGTAAAACTTTTGCAAATAGATATTATAATACGAGCAGATGTGCCATACCGATGGCCAAACCTCTTGTATTTCCCCAACGAGAACTAGATTCTCATACTACCTCACATGTCATTATAATAATATCTTTATTATTCTTTATTTCGCAATCGTTTTGTGAGTCCCTTAAAAACTGCCATGATCACGACCGCAGACGGGAAAACCATATTAAAACGTTCGCTCTCACCCGCTCTCTCTCACACTTTCTCTCTCTCACTCTCTCTCTCTCTCTCTCTCTCTCTCTCTCTCTCTCTCTCTCCACTCTCTCTCTCTCTATCTCTCTGTTACTGTCACAAGGTTGATTGTCGACACAAATACATTTTTCTACTGTTCTTAACTATACAAATACGTCTCGAACTGGATTCGTATGTTTTTTCGTTGCATCAAACTATTCTCATTTGTCATTATGTGCATATTGTTGGAACGACAATCCTATATTCTTTGACAATTGTACAATAGAAGGCGTTATTGTGTTATATTAGTACATTGTGTTTTATTGTTGTGTTTTCAATCTGTTCAAGAAAGTGCCGCAGAATAACTCAATACCTTTCGGCAAAATACCTTTAGCTCCAGAAGGGTCAGAATATCACGTATCTCAACATTTATCCAAAGAGGTAACACAAGTAATCTGGTATAGTGGGTATATATTCTCTTTCAACTTTATATATGTCAGTTGGTTATGTGATACAGTACACCAACAAACTGCTTGACGTCAATGCAGCGAAGACGTTAGTGTTACTGTCACTGACACCGTGCCAGAGATGTGAACCAAAGCATCACTTGGGCTTATACTGGATCATATACTGCATCCCTAATGATGACTTATAATATAAGGTTGCTGAAAACTTACACATTGGCCTTTCCAGATACCTGTTTGTGTTTTCTAATGGCATGACTTGCTTCCAACGTGTTTTCCTCCTACACAGGATATCAGGGAGTAATCAGGTTTTAACATAATGGAGACTGACACTATCTCGGAAACCCATTTGTACCCATGCTGGTTGGGGATGTTTTCCCTCACACTTCTTGTCCTTGTTTGTGGTGGTGATGTGTGTTCAACTGTCAGGCATGTACATAGATAACGTCAGAAAACGATCAGCCGCGATTATCTGCCGAAACAGAATCCTTTGGGCGTTATACTGAAAATGTGTTCAAACTTGTGAGGATGGATCAATGAAAGTCTTTGATGACGTCATGTGTCTTTCCCTTTCGGTAGCATCAGCCACGCAAACAGTTTTCTGAAAGGTAGGCGTGTGTTTATTGCCTGGCGCTGCACAAAAGAACTCTGCCTCTCCTTGCCTCTGTCAACTAATCATGTTATCAAATGATCTACCAGAAAATCCTTCCACACAATAGCGCTTTTACTGATGCTGTTCAACCTAACACTGGTTAATGTGTAATTACATTTGCAGTGTATAAATGTTTACGTATATTTGTTTGGTTCTGACGTACGTTCAGCATCCAAATCGCCTACTGACCACGTCCAATTTGTTATGGTATACATACGTGTCACAGTAAAGGCAACATATATAATACCACATATATACTACCCATCAAATGTTTAGACGCACTAGTGTAAATGTAGCCACTTACTTCAGTCAACTGTTCTAAACTAGATTTTGTAAAATATTCCGTACTGTTTTAAGGTACTTTTTACACATGAACTGATGTATTGTAAAACAAATTCGTAAAGTTGAAAAGATTATTGTCATGAGTTCAATACATGATGAAACTCAGTGAAAATTGGCGAATTCTTAAGATAACTTATACCAAAACGTAGCTGTTCACATGCACGATATTTGCACATGCTTTTCAGCAGATTGATCCTCGTGCAATTCATCTGCATAAGGTTTGCAGTTTGTTCTCCCAAGTTAGCGGAGACATTCATCTACTATGTAACCATATATATATATATATATATATATATATATATATATATATACATAACATATAGTAAGTGCTTTAAGTGAGTCTAAACTTTGATGGGTAGTATGTTATGTACAAAGTGACCGATAATCTAGCTCATGAGACACTGGCGAGAAGCTTCAGTGAGTGAGTGTTGCAACAATATTATTTACAAGACAAAATACAGTATGAACAGAAGCATTTATCTTACCTTCATGTAAAATACTTTAAATACTTCTTCATTAGTCAATGGCGCTTTAACAAGTTTCGTGTCACCCTCCCGAGGGTGACAACTGAAAGATATATTACCCGCTACCATGGTAACCGCCAAGCTCTCCGCCGAGAAGCTGAAGCGCTAACAATCGTATGACGTCATAATATGACGCATGCAGTGCCCGGAGTTCGAAAACCGTTCGATCAGGTGTTTTTGTGTTCACTTTGTACAGTTTTATTTTACCTACTTTCACTGCTATATTGAAGCTATTTTATACATTGAGTGGTTTGTACACTCAGCGTAAACATCATTAACAATTTTTATAGTAGTTTTATGCTTGTCAGAATATGTTTCACTGATGTTAAAAATCCAGTCGAGAGGCAGACGCCAGTTTGTTTGCATGTCATATAGTCGGTAGCGATCTTTAACATAAAATAAAATGATATTTTGTACATTTAACATGGCGGTAAGATAAATACGTTGTATGCTTCTCCCTCGGGTAATACGGTCTGATGTGCGCTTCTTTGTAGCAGTGTCATCCCTCGCCTACCGGCTCGGGTGACACTACTACAAAGATGCATACATCAGACCGTATTACCCTCGAGAGTAAGCATACAACTTATAGTATATACATGTTGAAAATGTAATTCATAAAATATTAATAAACGTTAACTATAAGGGTGTTAATAATACGACGTGTAAAAAGTACAGGCGCCGGCAAAACGTTTTATCTACAGTGCAGTGACGGACATGAATGTGGTATTTAACAAGTTAGGTAAAAGGGACATCTTATGTCCATGGGGATGCCCTTTGCTTTCGACACAATTAGCGAAATGACATAGTCTCCAGACAAAGAGGGGCGGAAGGTTTATTGCTTATTGCATCTACCTATCTCAGTGTGAGATTACCACATATGTCAGATTTCATATTTAATAAGACGCAGCGGGGATTATGTCGGCACGAAGGTGACCTTTATTTTCAACCAATTGCTTGTAATGTTAAAACTTCGTTTGTATTGCACAATAGTAACAAAGTAAACTAAGTCCTAAGTTACCGCCAATGCTGAAACAAAACCAACTTTATGCGTTGATATTTCGAATTATCATGCATGTAAAACAGTAAGTTTGTGTTACTGTCTTAAACCTAGAATTACTTCGGGGAATTAGCTCCGGGATCTCCACGCCTTCAAATACAAACAGAGAGGATCTCAGGCAAAGCAGGAATGATTCTAGTGTGCAACCATCCTGTTTATATACCCGAGACCTCCTGTCCGAATTGAAAGCAAGTCGCACATGTTCAATTTGCAATTTCGATAATATAATAAATCACACGCCGGTTACGTTAGGCAAGCTTTGGATGGCAGACGCTAACGCTGAATGCCGAAGTAATGAAGGATAGATAATTAAAGATTATAAATGCCTTTGGAATGTCACAGTTTGTACTGGTTCCTTTAATAGATTATACTTGGTCTGCTGTAACTGCACTATCAGGCTCCCTACATGTGCAAAGCCCTGTATTTCGATTAGGACGCTGTTTGCATGTAGCGTCGCTTGACCAGTTGTGGCAGCTTGCACCCCAAGGCGATAAGTGGTAAAAACTAGAAGAAAAATGGACCAATTGTGACACTGTTATACATGTATAAATCAGTATCAAAGGATTAAAGTGATCAGATAAAGAATGTTTAGGTATTTTTGTCATATGTCAAAACTCTGTCATAGCAACTATTTCATAAAGACAAGCTTCGGGCAAAGAAAGGTTCCACAACGAGGATCCATGACCGGTACAAATATTTACCAGTATTTCTATATATTCTTGCGTGTTATAGACAGTAACGGATGCAAGTTTATCTCATAAGTGTAATAGGAGCGCCTGAAGAAGTCTTGACGTGGGTGGAAACAACGGAAGATTGTGTCGGAATGGTTGACACGTGTCCTTGTCTTCGGTAAACATGTCACAGTGAAAAATGCAAGCTGTCATTTGTGAAAGGCTGGTTACAGTGTGGACTGCCATGGCCGTCTCTAGAGATATTCTCTATTACGCTTGTGTATGTCTTTGAAGAAGGAAGGTGAATTATTCAGTGAGGTGGTCAGTTACAAACGGGTTTTGTATGAGGTAAATCCTCACAGTGCACATCTGATGTTGAATTTTCATAGACAGTTCTTGGCATCAAAGGAGACTGTTGGCGTCATTCCGTGTATATCATGCGTTACCAGTAAATACCAAGTTTCACGTCACTATACACAGATGTATTTTATTGATGTGAGTATGCACTGTCAAACAGGCAGATGTTTGAATTTCATTTTCGATAGCATTCAAACATTGAGTAGAATTTTGTTGCCTAGCAAACAGAATATAGTCATAAGAGGCGTCATAGTGAATCAGATGGTGTGGTTAGCTGTCTTGGTTGCATGCATTCGTGTCTAAATATACCGATGAATGATGCTAAACAATATTCATTCAACAAAGGACAGATGTAAATATTCAGAAAGACAGACATCATATGAATCGGTGTCATAATTTCATGACGAATGTCTGCACAGTTTAAGGAATAAGTGAGATTCGTCAAGGTTGAGTAGCAGTTACAGATAATATCGATGATTTTGATCAATGAGCTGGTATGTATAAGAAATGGATTATTGATGTGGCGATGTCACAAGTGAGTGAGTTGCGTCTTTCAGCAATATTCTGCAATATCAAGGCGGGGGACAATAGAAATGGGCTTCACACGTTGTACCCATGTGGGGAGATGAACCCGGTCTTCGATGTGACGAGCGAACGCTTTATCCGCTAGGCTACCCCATGTCCGAATTCAAGCCTTGATTAACAAGAGTATCGACTGTAGTTAATCAGATACGACAGAATATATATGTCAATGTCGTTTCCTTCATTAATTTGTCAGCATTGAAAGCCTTATGAAGGTCGTCTCTTTGGTTAATAAACATGGTAATGATTGATTTGGTCCCGCGAAAAGCGTAGGGTTCTGAATTTATTGCATTACCTTGCACTCTGCACAGAAACAGAATTATTTCGGATTCCAGGAATTTGCATAATTATGTCTAGATCAGAAAGGAAGTGTCTTTGTCTGAAAGAACTATTGGTGACGGACCTAATGTTATTCCAAGTAATACGTTTACGTTTATCATTGATGTACAACGTCATAGCCCCGAAATCGTATCTTATGTTAACATGGGACCCAATATTGGTTCACAACCAATACACTATACCATAGCCAATACATTATATCGCAACCAATGCAATATATCTTAACCAAGACACTTTATCATAATAAATACACCATCTCTTAACCAACACATCATCTCATAACCAATCCATCATCTCATAACAAATACATCATCTCATAACCA